GGTGAGCGGTTCAGCTATATCAACCGTACTGAACTGGAGGCAAAAGGGCGGGCGTTTATGACTTTGGCGCAATTTGCTGCCAGCAAGTCTCAACCTGCAACTGCCACACCATCTGTAGCTGACAAGCCAGAAGCAGAGTTGCCACTTACCCAGAAAGATATTTTTGATATCAGCGGTGTCGAGGCGTGGGCATGCGTTAGAGCTGCGTTCGGCGATAAAGAAGAATACACATTCAGTGAATCGAAGTTTGGGCATACCTGGGCGGCGGATTCTGTCGAAGCACCGGAATTCACTCAGGTATCACCATTAACGATCGACAAAGCGAAGCTGCTTATTCGTGAGAGTATTTTGTTCGGTGTGGATGAGTGGCTGTTGTCGATTGAATTCGATGACGCTGCTGCGAGCCTGGATATGTCGGAACGTATTCGGACTGTTGCCCTTGAAGCATCTGGTGAATATGGCATGAACAGTACTGATTTCATTGCAGCTATGGGAAGCCTGGATGTTTCCAGTTGGTCCAATATTCGCCAGATCCGCATGCACATCCGTGAGAAAGCTAAACCAGTATCGGATCCGCTTCCAGAGTCCCGTATCTGGCCGCTGGAGGTTGGAATTGTATTCGACCAGGTGGATGGTGCTGACATGCTGGATGAATCACAGCAGAACAAGCTGAAAGCCAACATCAATCAACTCTGGCTGGAGCGGACGGCCACCAGCGAAATCATTACTGCAGTTTCTGAACTTGTTCGCAATATGCGGGGAGAGGCCGCATGAAACTGGTCTTGCCTTTTCCTCCGAGCGTGAACACTTACTGGCGCGCCCCTAACAAGGGGCCGCTGGCCGGTCGCCACCTCATTAGCGCTGATGGTCGTAAATACCAAAGTGCTGCCTGCGTGGCGATCATTGAGCAATTACGACGTCTCCCGAAGCCATCGACTGAACTGGCAGCGGTAGAAATCACTCTGTACCCGCCGGATGCGCGCCGCCGGGATATCGATAATTACAACAAAGCCCTGCTTGACGCGCTGACGCATGCGGGTGTCTGGGGAGACGACAGCCAGATTAAGCGCATGCTGGTGGAATGGGGACCGATAGTACCGAAGGGAAAAGTTGAGATAACCATAACGGCATATAAAAAAGAGGTGGTTATATGTCCAGCTGTGGGTTGAATATTGGTCAATATGGCAGTAATGTCGGAAAGTGCAAGCGAAACGGGCGTGCAGGCCCTTCGCAACAATCAGAGTATGGAGAGAATATGAGCAATCATCATGTTATGGGCACTGCTACGCCCAAAAAAGACTCTTATCTTGTTGTTGATGGATGTTTAATCAACTCATTCGAACCAAATCTTTATAGTCTCAATGATATTCATAAGGCTTCAGGTGGGTCTGCGTCCAAAAAACCTGCGTTTTATCTCAGGACGCTAACTGCAAAAAGAATTCTAAATGCTCTCCCTGGTGAACGTTGGGAAAAGTTGCATGTTATTCGCGGTGGAGTCTTACAGGGTACTTTCGCCTCTCAGGAGTTGGTTTTTGCCTATGCCCTCTGGTTGAGCCCTGACTTTTATGTTCGCGTTCTGAGCAATCTCCCTTTTATCAGCGATCTGCGCAACGGGGAGGCAAAATGAGTCAGCTACATCAGATCATCCCGATCACTCAGGGCAATATTGGCAACCACATAACCCCGATGGTCAGCGCTAAAAGGTTACATGCTTTTCTCGGCGTTGGGCGTGATTTCACCAACTGGATTAAAGGGCGTATCAGTCAGTATGGTTTTGCTGAAAATACTGATTATGTGGTTTACGCCAATTCTGGCGAGAACCCCCTCGGTGGACGCCCAACCGTTGATTACCTGATCACCATTGATATGGGTAAAGAACTGGCGATGGTGGAGAGAAACGAGAAGGGTCGTCAGGTTCGTCGTTATTTCATCACATGCGAACAACAAGCGAAAATGCGAGTTGGTACACCATCATTACCAAATTTCTCTGATCCGGCACAGGCTGCGAGAGCATGGGCTGATGAATTTGAAGCCAGGCAGCGCGCGGAAACAGTTACCCACCAGCAGGCCGAATATATCGAGCATCTCGAGAGTCTCTTCACTGACGGGCTTTCCCCTGTACAGTTCTGTAAGCGTTTGAATGGTGTGAATACCTCCAAGATCAGTGCCTGGCTTGTCTCTGCTAACTGGCTGTACGACGACAATCCCGAAGGCCGCAGTGCACAGTGGCGTGTTCGTTCGTATGCCCGCGACAAATACCTCACCGAGAAAAGCAGTAAAGTATCGCCAAACTCTGCGGTGAGCTTTACTACCTACCAGCCCGTCCTGCTGCGTGAAGGCGCTGTCTGGCTGTACAAAAACTACCTGAAGGGGAAGCTTCCGATGAAGGTCACCTGGAACGGTAGTTTTACCCACGATAAAGATTTAGCAGGGGGTCTCCAGTGAGAGTGACCCCTCCGCACCTTCAGCCTGTATTGTCCAGGGTTAAACGGTTTGTTGAAAAACAACCTGATGGGGCAACGCTCACCCATCTGACGCACAAAGTATCAGCATATAGCTCGTTGAGCCGGAAGGATAAAGAAAACCTGATCGATATCATCCGCGAAAACAGCCTGCTCTGCGTTACTGATGACGGCAGGACAACAACCCTGCATCACCCTAAGTTTGGTCATAAATCCGTGGCGCCGGTTATTGCGTCGTCGAAGACATTGAAGGAAGCCACTATGAATAAGCCAACCGTGACCCCTGAAGAATTACGCAAGCAGGCTGAAGCCCTCATTCGTGCCGCTGAAGAAGCTGAAAAAAAGGCAGGTGACCGCGCTGAAATAAAAAAGCAACTCGATCCTCTGAAGCTTGAAATCCTCCAGGCTTATGGAATGGCAAGCCGTAAGTTTGATGAGTTTGTGGATGCTATGGCGGACATGGGGAAGGCCGTACAGAAATTTAAAGATCTGACGGTATAAGGGGTGGGCATTGAGAGCCTTACTTACCCCTGAAATGGTGCCTCGCCTTGGCGTGGTGCTGTTCAAGCCAGGACGGGAGTTAATGCCCCTGTTTGCATCAGGTCGCGTGCTGGTTGAACGGGAGCCAGAAAACATGGCCCGCCTTCCGTCTGGTCGGATCCCCGATGCACAGCAACCGCTACTGGATGATGCCAGCCTTCACACTTTCTTTACCGATGAACGGGTCATTACTGCTGCTGGTGGTATGTCCGGGCTTGAGTTCTGGCTTCGTCAGCGCATTAAAAAGTGTCAGTACCCTGTTTCTGACTACCATCATGCCGAGCTAACAACACTATGGCATCCTCCTGGCGCGTTAGTGGTGTGCTGGCACTGCGATAACAAATTGCGCGGGCAGTCAACGGAAAGATTGCAAGCGCTTGCGCTGAACAATGTTGCCGAATGGATTGTTGATACCGTCCTGGCTGGGCTTGGCTGCAACAAAGAGCGCTCCCTCTCTCTAGCCGAACTTTGCTGGTGGGCTGTTCAGTCAGGTGTCGCTGATGCCGTCACTGAAGGAATGGCGCAACGGGCACTACGGTTGCCAGACGAACCATTATTATCTGTTTACA